GTCTTCACCTCCCGTCCATTCAGCCTGATCGAGGGTAGAGCGGGCGAAGAGATCGGCTTGATGGCGGTGATGCGCGATCCATTTGCCGACAGTAGATCGCGGGACCTCGAAAATCGCCGCCAGCTGCCTGATGGTCGGTTTCGTCTCCTTGCCTCCCGCGCCACCTGGTCCACTGATGTCAGCACATGGTGTAAAGTAGGTTTTCAGCACGGCGGCCTTGAAAAAGCGAGGAGATTCGGCGTCCTTGGCCTGTTCAGCCTCCCGCCGCAGGTCGAAGGCCAACTCGTTCCGCGGACTGACGACTCCGCCCGGTGTGCCTAATGGGTTCATCAGATGCTATTTAGTGGATATCCGCAAGGAGGGGGTAGCAGAGCAAGACTCAGAGCCAGTATCGATCGTGTCTCTTAGATCAGGGGAAGCAAAAATAAAAATGACTGGAAATGCATTATGTCCCGTAGAAGGAGGGTTCTCTCTATATTGCATACTACGATTGAAAGAAACAAGCCAAACCCAAGCATTCGCAAGTTGAAAAACACCGAATTTTTGAAAAAATTCGGTCGTTCCGAAATTCGGAAAAAAATTTTCCACTGTGGATAAGCGTTCACCATCCGCGCGTTGCCAGGCACAATGTTGTATGCAGGCTCCCAGCTGTCTTCGGAGGCGGGGCGATCTTTCCAACGGATCAAGTACCACAATTCGTCGTCGTCGCGAAGCTGCGAGTCGAGAATCCTGCCAACCGGGAAGAACTCGCCATCACTCGTGGACAAGCCAGGGACATTGCGGAGCACACGGTCGGGTAAATCATTGGGACGACACAGCTCCAACAAAGCCACATTGAAGACATCGGCCTTGAGCGAGCTCTCGCCAAGGTCCAAGGGCACAGCATTGTCGTTAATCACCTGGAGAATCTTGAAGGGACAACACGCACAAAGTCAAGCTTGGTCACAGGACGGTCGCTCTTGATGTTTCGGCGCAAAATCCACACTTGCTGGCCAATCTCGAACTTGGGCGCTTGCTTGCGCAGACGATCGGCAAACTTGGCATACCGCTCGTTCGCTCGAGTGATGTTTGATGCCAGGGTTGCATGCAATTCCTCCATCTGGGCGCCACGGTTGAGATGAGGCAAAAGAGCTGCACGATTGGCCGCGTCGCCGACATCCATCCGAGGGTGGAAGCCATACGCAGCTTTGAACGGCGACATCTTGATAGCTGTGTGCACAGTGTTGTTGTACACGAACTCGCATGAGGCCAAGTGCTCCACCCACTGCTGGTCGTGCGAAATGTACGCGCGCAGATAAGTTTCAACATTGGCATTGGCTCGCTCAACCAGACCATTGCCAGCGGCATGATACGCGCTGCTCAGCGCCAGCTCCACACCAAGGCCTCGCCAGTAGTCACGCCACGCTTTGGCTGCGAACTGGGGCCCACGGTCACTGAGAATGCGGTCAGGCAGGCCATGATGGCGAACCACATTGTCAAAAAATAAATTTGCAGTTGCTCGCGCTGTAATCGCTTTGACCGAAGGAATCAGGTGAATCATGCGAGTCAGTCGGTCTTTGCAGACCAGGAGCGCATCAAAACCTTGGTCCGGTGGCAAATCAGTGATAAAATCCACCGCCCAGTCACCAAACGGTCGCTTGGGAGCGGGGATTGGCATCAGCAGTCCGTACGGCGCATGCCGCGGGACCTTGACACGTTGGCACATGTCACACGTAGCCACATAGTGAATCACATAGGCACGCAGGCCTGGCCAGGCAAAGTCGCGACGAACCAGCTCAAGCGTTTTCAGCTCGCCGCCATGACCAGCCAACTCTGCGTCGTGTCGCATGAAGAGGACAGTGGACCTCAAGCTTTCCGGGACATACAGTCGGCCATCCTTTCGCAGCAGGCCGTCAGCCAAGACGTAGCGCGAGTGTGGGGCCGCAGCCAACAGCGACGCTTGCGCATCCACAGCAGTCTCGAGACGAATTTTCCCAACCAAGTCGGTTGGAAGCTCGCTCGCACTGTGAGTAGCTGCTGGGGTGTCAGGCGCTGCTACTCCAGCATCGGCGGTTGCTAATGCATCGTCGTGATCATGCGTGGCCGGCGAACTCGGGATTATGTGCGTTTGCGGCGCAAATGTCACTCGAGAGGCACGGGCACGCTCAGGCGCTGCACCCGCACCCTGGGTAGCATCACCGACCGCTTGCGCACGTGTGACAGGGGCAGCGATCTTGATGAAAAGGCTGGGAGGCAGGATGGGCTCGAGGCGAGTGGGTTGTGGAGTCGCACCACTTCCCGTCCTCGACAAAGCATCCGCCGCTCCATTACGCGAGCCATCGATATGGAGGATCACGAAATCGAAGCGACCAAGCCTTTCCTTCCAATTGGTCTCGCGGGAACTGAGCTCTTTCGCAAACGAGAATTCACGCAAATTGCGATGGTCCGAGTGCACTGTCGTCTGCTGTCGACTGCTCCACAGGTAGTGGCGCCAGGTCTCCAAGCACTCCACAATGGCAAGGAGCTCCT